ATGATCGACCCCCCTGCTGTCGAGCACGCCTCGGCAAGGCTTGCCTGTCGGCCGCGCGAGTGGCCCCAGCGCCTCGAGACGCAGCGCCAGCGCGGGGTAGTGCGCGGCGCCGCCCTGGGGGACTAGGACACGCTGGAGGAGGAGGAGGGCGCGAGAGGAATACGCGTCGAGTTTTACCTCGACCCAGGGGCGCGCGCAGCATCCCTCAGAGTTAGTGGGGAAATCCGCCGATCCGGCGTGTGAGTTTCAAGGAGTCTCAGCTACAGCCTCGAGGCTGAGCTTCAGCCTCTGGGGGGGTCGCCGGGGTGGCTCTGCCGGGGAAGGGGGGGTGGGGGGGGGGGGGGGGGGTGCGAGTTTCCGGCGAACCCCGGGGCCGCTCCGGGGGAGTGGAAGATAGGGGGGGGGGGGGCGCCATGCTCCGCTTTTTCCGGCGCTTTGGAGGAGGGGGGGGGCCCAAGAGACCCCCAAGGGGTTCCAAGAGGGCCCCGAGTCGCCGAAAAATCGCTCCAAGACGCCCGAGATGGCCTCCAGACGGCCCAAGGTGTCTCCAAGACGCCCCAAGAAGCTTCCAAGAGGCCTCCCAAGAGGGCCCCAAGAGGCCAGAATCGTTGATTTTCATTGGTTTTCTCAGGGTTTTTAGCGTTCTTGCCTTTTCGGGCGTCCGACGCTCGAAGACGGCCCAAGAGGCCCCCAAGTCCGTCCCAAGACGGCCCACGATGCTTCCAACACGGCCCAAGAGAGCCCCAAGACGGCCCAAGAGGGCCCCAAGACGGCCCAAGAGGGCCTCTGGACAGCCCAAGAAGGCCCCAAGAGAGCCCCAAGAGGGGCCCAAGAGGGGGACCACGAACCGAAAGAACCGAGCTTTCCGCCCCAAGAGGCCCCCAGGAGGCCCCAAGAGACCCCCAAGGGGCCCCAAGAAGCCCACAAGAGGCCCAAAAGAGGTTCCAAGAGGCCCCAAAACAGCTCCCCAGAGGCCTCCAGACTGCCTCCGGCAGGCCCCCGGTTTCTTCCGCGGCACCGCCCAGGGCGCCACCGGCAGGATGTCCTCCGTCTCATCGTTTTCCTTCAAGTTATCGCCTCTTCCTCATTCTCCTCCTCCTCCTCTGCGACCTCACTCCTATCCCTCAACGATCGCGTCACCGAGTGCCTCTTCTTTGAAACATCCTCGCTCTTCAAACGCACATCCATACACACATGCATACATACCTACATTTAAACACATTTGCATACATAGAAAAACAATCTTCCAGACATACATACTTACATTCACACACATACACACATATTATCATACACACATACAAACATACATACAAACTAAATACATACATACGCGCACAAGCATACATACATACATACGTACCTACACACAGGCACACATGATCAATGCATGCATACATGCATGCACGCGTACATACACACACATATATCGTGAAACTCACCGCGTGCTCGAAACTTGAGAGAGACCGCGGGAAGTCGAGAGAAGCCGCGGAACGAGGCCTCTACTACTACTACCACTACTACCACAACCACTACTACTACTACTACTACCACTACTACTACTACTACTACTACTACTACTACTGCTACTACTACTACTACTACTACTACTACTAATACTACTACTAGTACTACAGGAGCGTTTCCCAACTAGTATGTGTGTGTGGGTGATGCTGTGTGCGCATGTCTGCGGCGCAGGTTAAGTGGTGTGACTGTGTGTGTGCGTTTGAGTGTGCGCCCATAATTTCTGCGTCTGGAGAATAACCCCGAGCGACCCGGATCGGCGGCACTGGCCGAAGGCCACTACAATACCATCTACCAACCGCGTTGCAGGCGATTCCCCGACAGCGGGCCCGAAAGCCGCATTCAACGCGCATGCCGCCGCCAGGGCCGCGGCTATCAAGCGCGACGCCGATCTCCCGACCAACGAAGGGGCATCCAGGATGCAGGCTGTCGAAAGAGATTGCAGCAGCCGTCCTCGAGGAGCTCGCCATCTAGGTCAAGCGCTTCGAGGGGCGATCGGACAAGGGCGCCCGAAACGCCGCGGGCCCCGGGCGCGTCGTCAAGCGCGCGCGCCGGCAGGCGCCCGACGGCAACGCCCCGAGGATCACCCGGCGCCGCGCGGCGATCAGAGCTTCCACAACATGGGCGCCGGAGCCCTGGGGGCGCCTGCGGGGGCGGCGAAGCGCTCGTCGCAGCGCGCGCTGTCCTCGGAGGCGGCGCGCCACCCAGATTTGGCCGCGTCGCTCTCGGCGCCGAGAAGGCTATAGTCCTGCAAGGCGTGACCTATGTCGGGGTGCAGGGGCAGGCGAAGTAGCGCGCGATGCGCCTTTCGCCGCGCCGCCTGGCAGCGCTGCCATCTACAGGCAGGCTCTGGGCCGCAAGCCTTCCGGCGAGCGGACCGAGCGCGGGCGGCGCAGGCTGCGCGGGCGCACCCTGGGTTTTCTAAATGAATTCGCTTGGGCCACGCGCTCGCCGGCGCGCGGCGCCGGGCCTGCCAGGTGGGGCCTGCGGCCAGAGGTCAAGCGCGAAACGTCTGGCCCCTATGGCGACGGCGACTCGAGGCTTGTGCCCCTGCTGTCCAGACGCCAGACGCGTCGACGGTCTGAAGACCGCTGGACGCAAGGAGCTCGTTGACGGTCTTAATCGCCCCAGCGAGAGCGTCTGCGACAATTCCGCCAATTGCTGGGCGTGCCGACGCGCCGCCGCGCCGACGGCGTAGCATCCCTCGACCAGTAGTGCGAGTGCACCGACGCCCCGGCGCCGACCAGACGCGTCGGCCCAGTCAAGGCGAGGGCCGACGAGCGGCTCGGAGGTCAACTCAACCCCCGCACCTCCGCGTCTCTTTCTTGGGGGCAGCAGCTTGCGTTCCTGCTCGCCCGGCGCCGCGTCGCCGCGTGTATTGTCGCGCTGCAGCGGGCCAGGAAAATGCTGCGCGGGCTTGGCGCGACGCAGCTCAACTCCGCAGCATTGGCCACGCCGAGGATCAAGGCGCGCATCGCCTGTCCTGCCATGGAACGCGTCGGCCAGCCCGGAGCGCGCAGCGACGGCCCCTTGGAGCGGCAGGAGGAGTCAGGGCACGGCATGCGGGGTGCCGATGAATTTTGTTTGGGCAAGTGCCGCAACGCCGAGGTCATAAATTTGCTCGACGTCGTGAGCCGCTGGCACAAGTTTGCGTGCCGGCATTCGTTTAGCTCCGAGCTGCTCGCGGCGCGGCGCTGCCGATGGTTTGCCGGCGCACCTCCTGCGCTTCGCGAGAATATCCGCGGGCCCGTCTCAGCTACCGGGATCAGGGCGCGAAGAAAGAGGGGGGGGGCACGCTGCGCCGCAATCCCTGTTGTGGACGGCATGCCCGTCTTCGCGGCATTGGCCGCGGGCTTGGTTCGACCGCTTTCGGAGAGCATGGCTGGCCTTCTGCAATGGCCATCCGGTCAATTTCGTACCACGCAGATCGTGGACACGCTGTGTTGCGATTCGCCGGACATGAGGGCCGACCCCATGACGACGTGGAGCATCGACCGCGAGCGCAGTCTAGACATTATCAGCGGAAAGCTCAGCTACGATCGCTTCGCCGTCAAGCTGAGCGACGATCGGCGCAATACTGCCAATTCCAGTTCCCGTCGCAGTAGTCTCTTCAAGAACATGGGCCGACCAAAATGACTAAGTCAATTGCTCGCCCAACATCACGGGCAACGACGGTTCGGGCTTGCACTGACTATGCCGTCGCAGCTTACGGACCCAGCGGCGTCACGGGTATATGCAGACGCTCGCATCTCGCGAACTAGCGAATTATGTTCGCGAGTGCGACGTAGTGCAGCATGCATGTGATCGTGTTTCTTTCACGGTTTACGTTCGTGGAGTAGCTGGCCACGCGGAAAGTGAGCATGCGATTGAAAACACAATGGTTATATCAACGGCCTGTTTGCAGGCGAGTTTGTATGATGTTTCGTTGGTTGTTGCACGGCTTGCGCGCGATGACCGACGAGGCACAATATATTCGCTTGAGCACCTGACTCGAAAAGTATTTGTGTTTACCCTGCCTGTCCCTCCCGCCTGTTATCCCGCTGTTGTTTGCAGCCCGAGGGGGCCGCCGACCGCATAGACCCTTCCAGCATGTTCCTTACACCGTTTAGACGTGCTGACGCCAGACCAAAGCATCCGTTTTCATTACACCTGACTTTTCGGACGTTCCCCCTCATCATCCTCCTCTCCTCCGGTTGCTTTCGAGTGCACGGTGTTTTTCGTCTGATTCCTGGAATGGAATGTTCAACGTAACCGGTAGTTCTTTTTGTTTTACCCTTTCCCCTTGGAACACGACAACTTGTATTTCCCAGTGGCGAAAGGGCGAAAACGAGCGAGCGAGGTCCTCCTGCTCTTGCTCTTGCTCCTTCTCCTCCTCCTCCTCCTCCTCCTCCTCCTCCTGCTCCTCCTCCTCCGCCTCCTCCACATCCTCCTCTTCCTCTACCTCCTATTCCTTCTTTTGTTTCTCCTCATCATCCTCCTCCTCGTCCTCCCTCCCCCGTCCCCTCTCTCCTCCTCCTCTCCTCCTCCTCCTCTCCTCCTCCTCTCCTCCTCCTCTCCTCCTTCTCCTCCTCCTATTCCCCTCCTCTCATCATCATCATCCATCATCATCATCATCATCATCATCATCATCATCATCATCATCATCATCGTCATCATCATCATCATCATCATCATCATCATCAATCATCATCATCATCATCATCATCATCATCATCCATCCGAATTCCTTTTCCCCCCCCTCTCCTTCTCCTCCTCCTCCTCCTCCTCCTTCTCCTCCTCCTCCGCCGCTCTTCCTATTCCTCCTCCTCTCTCCTCCTCCTCCTCCCACCTCCTGCTTCTGGTCCACCTCCTCCTCTTCCTCCTCCTCCTCTTCCTCCTCCTCCTCCCCCTCGTTTTCCTCCTCCTCCTCCTCCTCCTCCTCCTCCTCCTCCTCCTCCTCTTCCTCCTCCTCCTGTTGCTCCTCTCCCCACCCCCAGGACGCGGAACTGCGCGGCGCGCGAGATTTTTGCAGCGAGCAGCAGGCCCGCGCAGAGGCCCTCGAGGAGGACCTGCGGGCCCAGCGCCGGGCCGCCGACGCGACGCCCCGGGCCGCTGAGGCGGTCAGTGGCCATGAGGGGGGGTGCTAAAGGTGCCCCCGGCCCAAGGTGCCCCAGTTGTCGCTCAATGTTGAAGCTCCAGGGGCCCTGTGGGCCTCGTGAGGGGTGTTATGGAAGCCGTGGGGGGCCTCCTCGGAAATGCTGGGGGAACCTTGGGCCAGGGCCATTTCTAGCAGCACCCGAAAGAGGGGCGTGATGAGTCGGGGTGTGCGGATATCGCTGAGGCAACAAAAACAACGAACGGCCCCTGAAATGTAGACCTGCCCCGCGCACCCCCGCCCGTCGCGCGCGGTCTACATTTCAAGGTCGTTCTGGTCGGTGTCTACATTTCAGGGTGTTTAGGCCTCGCGAGGGTTCTCATTTCAGGGTCCTTTCGGTCGGGGTCTACATTTGAGCCCCTCTGCGCGGGTCTACGTGTTGAGTCCTTCTCGCGGGTCTACATGTTGGGGGGCTGCTAGCTTTTCGTTGAGATGTCTCCCCAGGTTCCATGGGCGTTGCTTGTTTCAGTCCGCCCCCTGTCCTCACCCCCATCTGAGGCTTGCACGTGCCTTGGGCCATGATTTGCGATTCCCTCTCTTGGACGCCCCCCTCTTGGACGCCTCCGAACGTTGGGCCCTATCCAGGCGCTGCATTTGTTTCGCCATCGGGGGCTCGTTGGGAGCATGTCAGACCCAGACACGCTCGCGTTCTGAAAAAATGCCTTTCTCGGTTTTCGGCTTCTGCAGACCCTTACCGGGCCCCATAGCCGACACACAATGATTCAGGATGACAAACTGGTCCCGGGGACGAGGGTCGGGACTTCGGGGACTCCGTATTGACCGGAAGTCAGGACGTCGCGTGCATGTCTGGGACGGTATATTGAACCATCTTCGGCTATCTGGTGCTATTTCAGAGCATACGACGCCCACTTGGAGCCATCTTCGTTAGCTTGCACGCTATGAGCCCTTTTGGACCCCAGCAACCAAAAACCTCAGGGAGAGGATGGGGAATGCGCCCTTCCCCGAAAGGAGGACGGATTCTGGAAGAGGACCCGTTGGACCACCTGCACCCAGAGGGCTGGTGGGATTCGAGACGGTCGTGCTTCGCCTTTCTCGGCGCCTTGGGACCGCCAAAGACAGACTCAGGATGAAACGCTGGTCCCAGGGAATGGGTCGCGACACATGGCTCCCCTTCACATGAATTATCCCAGTGCGACCCTACCTAGGAGATGGAACCCCTAGGAAAGCAGCATTAGTAGTAACAGTAACGCTAAGCTAAAGCTAAGCTAAAGCTAAGCTAAAGCTAAAGCTAAAGCTCCCAGGGGACTGGGGGGAACCGCTCCCAGGGGACTGGGGGGAACCGCCCGGGGCGTGTAGCACTGCCCGGCCCCTTTAAGCTAAGAGAGTAAGAACCCTTCTAGGCAGAGCCTAGGTAGGGAATAAATCGTGACGTCGGGGGTGTTGCCAGGGGCAACGATGGGGGGGTTAGGCTCAGGGGGGGGTGCATCGACCCGCGCTCGCCCATTCATCGCCGGTAGGGACTGGAACCGTGCGGACTCGCCTTCGGGGGTCTAACTCGCCGACGAATCGGCGACGTGGCTCCGATTCCAGGTCGATGCTTCCCCCCCTGTTCAGGAGGAAAAGAAACACACAGACACAATTAATCCTCGATTCCCCAGAAAATATAGGAAAATATGGGAAGTGTGGGGGAAGACAGAAACCCAGAAAATATGGGAAAATATGGGGGAATCTTTTTATTTGTGTGTATTTATTTGTGTGTCCTGGGGCCCCTTCAACTGTGCCAGTCCCCCCCCGTCGTTGCCCCTCCGTCTGGGATCCGGGCGGTGCGGCTTTGCCCGGCTTCGGTGAGGGAGGAGGTCGGACGGGGCCAGTCGGACGATGAGCGTTCCAGAACGCTCCCGGAACACTCTGAGAAGGCCGCGGCTCCCGAGACATCCTCCAGAGCCGTCGCACATGAGCGTTTTGTTGTTCATTCTTTTGCCGATCGGCGCGGGCCCTCGCACCCCCCCCTCAGGAGTAGATCTTGGCTGTTCGCCAAGACTGTTCCGATCGGGTGGGGACCCTCCCCCCGAGGACGCACTCATGCAAACAGTGGCACTGAGCAGAGGCCCGGAGCCAGACCCCCCCCCTCCCCCCCTCCCGTCCTCCCAATGACGAAGCCCCCCCCCCCCCCCCCAAAAAAAAAAAAAAAACGCTCACCGTCGCGGAGAGCCTCGAGGGATCCTCGCCAGAGCTGTGCTCGTCCTGGCTGCGTCTTCGGGGTGGGTGTGGCAGGCGGCACCTCGCGCGCCCCGTGGCCCCGCCGCTCGCCCTCGGGCCTCGGGCCTGGGGCCCCTCCCCCGGCGGTGCGAGGCGTGCTCCCGCATGGGCGTGTCTCGGCGGCGCGCAGAGGGGGGCCGCGGCTGAGTCGGGCCTGCCCCTCTGCGGGAGGCCTAGTCCAAGATAGTCCGAGCATGGTCAGGGGAACCTGCTGCTGGTATTTTGTTTGACTATTGCGAAGGCCTTACGGCCGGTGCCGCCGACCCTGAAGGGGAACGAAGACGGCGGCGGCGGCGGTAGCGACGACGACGATGCTGACGTGGGTTGAGTCCTCAAACGTGTTTCTTGGGGTTTCTTCCGAGCGCTCTCAGGGGCCTCTGGGGGGATGTTTGGGGGGCCTCTTGGGAGCCTCTTGGGGCCTCTTTGGGCTTCCTGGGGGCCTCTTGGGGGCTTCTCGGGGCTGAGGGCTCGAAATGGCCGTTCGGGTCCCCCGTCTGGGCACTCTCTTGGAACCGTCTTGGGGGCCTTTTGTGCCGTCTTGGAGGCGTCTTGGGCCGTCTTGGGGCACTCTTGGGCCGTTTGGGGACTCTCTTGGAGGCCTCTTGGGCCGTCTCGGGGCGACCTTGGGGGCCTCTTGGGCCGTCTTGGCGCGTGGGGAAGCGGAAGAGGCGAGAACGCCAAAATTCTTGAAAAACGTATTGGAAATCCATGATTTTTGCCTCTTGGGGCTCTCGTGGGAACGGTCCTGGAGGCCTCTTGGGGCGTCTCGCAGGCCTCTTGGGCCGTCTGGAGGCCGTCAAGGCGTCTTGGACAGATCATTCGGCGATTCGGGGCCCTCTTGGATCGTCTTGGGGGCCTCTTGGGGCACTCTTGGCCCGTCTTGGGGCTTTTTTGCGCTCCGGGTTCCCCGGGGGGGCGGCGTAAAAACCCGGGACCCGCCCCGGGACCCCCCACCCCCTCCCTGGGCGGGGAAGGGATCAGAGGGAAGGGGCTTCCCTTCGACTCAATTACGACGTTGCTCAATTTCGCTTTGGACTGACACGCTTCAGGAGGAGGCCCTGGGAGAGGGAGGGGTAGAAGCAAAGACGCTGTGGGGAAAGGGGAAGGAACGACGACGACGACGACGAAGAGGGAACAGACGGAGAAGCCTCTTCCACACGCCGACAGGGTCGGCGGATTTGGGGGTATGCTCTGAGTTTGTTCAATTGTTCGACCAGAATTCGCCTGGAAGGGGGACACGCTCGACCTAGAGGCAGGGGATGGATTCTCAGAAGCACCCCTGCTTTTTTTGTCGGCGCGGGGCTCCTCTATACATGTAGGGCCGGCGCCTTCGAAGAAACAGCCCCCTTCTCATAAGCCTTCTCCCCTCCCCCTACCCCCCTCTGCGTGCCGCCAAGTTTCCGCACGGGGCCGTCACAGCTCGCGATGCGGCTCGCAGAGTGCCGCAGTTGCGTGCTGCACGGGGTGGAGGCACTTACTCCAGGTCAGGTGGCGGGCCCCCGGACCATCACAGATCGAGGCGGCTCGAAACATCTTGCAGCAATGCTGTGTCAAGGGAAAGGGAGGAGGAGGAGGAGGAGGAAACGGAGGAGGAGGAGGAGGAGGAGGAGGAGGAGGAGGAGGAGGAGGAGGAGGAGGAGGAGGAGGAGGAGGAGAGGAGGAGGAGGGGGAGGGGGAGGGAGAGGAGGATGGGGGGGGGGAGGAGGCGGGGGAGGAGGAGGAGGATGGGAAGAAGGAAGAGGAGGAGGAAGAGGAGGAGAAGGAGGAAGAGCAGGAGGAGGAGCTCCTGTCGCGTTGATTCGCGATGTTGCATATTATTCGCAGCCCTCGGTCTCAGGGAGGGGGTAAAGGCTCAGGGTAGACTATGGACCCCTTATCTCAGGAGGGAACAAAAAGCACATAGACACAGTTCATCGTCGATTTCCCAGGAAATATGGGAAACTATGGGAAGTGGGGGGAAGACAAAAACCTGGAACATATGGGGAACATATGGGGAATCCGGTTATGTGTGTCTATTTATTTGTGTGTCCCAGGGCCCCTTTCATTATCGCCCACTGATCGCCGGTAGCGGGGGGTAGGCGTGAGGTTCGAGGTCCTCCGATTTTTTCGTCGGTTCTCCCCGATTTTCCAGCGTCGGGATGCGCCCTCGCTGAGAGCGTTCCAGGAACGCCTAGATTGTCCCGAACGGCTGCGGGAGACCCGAATTGCGACCAGAAAGCCAGGCGACGAGGATCTTTCTGGGGCAACAAGCATCTCAGGAGGACAGAAACACAGACACAATTAATCGTCGACTCCCAGGAAAATATGGGAAAATATGTGAAGTGTGGGGGGGAAGACAGAAACCTAGAACATGTCGAAAAATAAGGTGCGGCGGCGGCACCGTCGACGGGGAGCGCTGCTTCGCGGGGGCGAGGGCGCGCGGGTGGCGGCCGCGGTGCTGGTAGGGGCGCCGTGGTGCCGAGGGATCTTTGGGAGGACATGTTTCGCACGGCGGCGACTGTTGGTGATGGTGCAGAGCCGCCGGAGCTGCGCCCGCTGGACAGGGATCTATGCATGGCAGCTTACGGCGCGTCCCCGGAGGAGGTTACCAGGCAGCTGCAGTGGCACTGCGGCCGTGGCTCTGGCGTGGGCATCGCAAACCTCGGCAATATTTGCTTCGTGAGCGCAGTCGCGCAGGTGCTGCTGCGCCTGGCTCCCTTCCGTCGGTTCCTCTACGCTCACGACCAGAAGTGCCCTTTTAAC